TTTTCAAAGCTTAATCGAAAATAGAAAACATAACATTGAGAGCGAAAGGCTTGTTTCGAAGCAAAATCCCATAATCCATTCTCACTCATCAGCAAATTGCTTCAACAAGGAAAGAAAACTAAGAACCTGTCTTATTGTTTCCTTGTGGTGTTCTCAACGTCCATGTCCAGGAGATATGGCATTTGCGTTACTAAAACTGTCTTTCCAGATTTTGATGTTTTTTAGGATATTGTGGCTTACCTCTAGTTCGACAGGTAAGTAGATACTTCAAAATTGTCAACGCTATCTGTCAATTATGATGTTTATTGCGCACTCATTGTGTTAGAGATCAATATGATTTCAAATTCGGTATGGCCTTACTAACATAGATGTTTCACATCAAAAAAACCGTGCATTTGATACCCTATTTAATATGTTGACATTAGTTTTCGTATTATTTACTCAGTTTTAGTACATAGTGTTTTTACATCCTAAAGAAAGGTAAAACATATTCCAGTTCCTTATACTTCGCTTTAAGATAATAGTCGTGAAATCGGCAACCAATATGCACTATCGTAAATAAAATCAAACATTAGAGTACATAAAGGTGCATAGGGACCGTAAGAAGGTACATGGCAAACTACTCTTAAGAGTGATTAATTTAAAATTCATTGACGGTAGTCTATTTCCCGATTCTCATGTCCATGTCGAGACTATTAGCGACCTTAAGATTTGCAAAAACTCAGTGTAAATAACTTCAACTTTGTGGTGTCGTGCCTTCAAAGTGTTTCTTCCATGTGGATGAGTTGACTTTACAGACAATGTTTTGAATGCAATCTCCAATGAATAGAACCCCAAAGAAAAATTATTTTACAAGTCTTAAGGTCTCTATGAGCGCGTAGCAATGAAAGCAGTGATGCAACTAGTATATAATTAATGTGAGCTGTAACACAATAAATATAGATATAACTTTAAATTCTTCCGATGTAACATTACCTCAATAACTCTTAAACCACCTTTCCATTATAAACAAAACATCCTGTCTATTTCCAGAAAAGGGCGTTTCTCCCCAAATCGAGAGAGTCACGGCGCATTGTTTTCGGTGTGGTCAGTCCGAAAGCAAAAGACCAAAGACGTCATTTCAAAAAGAGTAGATGAAACACAAAATTCTTAATCGTTACTAACGTTTTTACTCTTTCATTTTATTTTATTTCACAGATTGCTTCTGCTACACATTTAATACACGTATATTAGGTTGCAGAGATAGTCGAGGTGAGTGCAGAAAAGATGGAGGTGACTTGGTAACCATGGAAACAGAAGAGAAATGGAAATTCATTAATTCAAAGATTCAAGGAATCAATAGGTGTCCAAATGAATGGTGCATTGGCCTGATAAAGGAAGGAGGAGAATGGAAATGGGTGAACAACCAAATACTTTCAATAAACAAGTGGCAAAGAGATGAGAAGAGAAATATACATGAACCAAATGGTCGCGATGGTAAAGAGAAATGTGTGGCTATGACTAAGAACTTTCCACCCGGAACACAAGGACTATTTAAAGACATCGTTTGTTCACAACCATTTATGTATGTGTGTGAGTACAGGAAAGGTACGTATCCAGTAACATGCACTTGTCAATAAAGATAATCTGATAAGCAATATATATTCGAACTTTGAAAGCTTTTTTGTGCAGGTTTCTAGTGAAACAAGCAAACCCCAAATTATAGTGGAATAATATTTTGATCACTAAACTCTTAGAGACCACCACATCAAGAAAATATTGTCTTAATCTAATGCTTCGAGAACGAGAACCGTTAAATCAAAATTAATGTAAAAGTTGCAGCTTAACTAGCATATGTATATTGGAGTTGAAAAGTGTGAGAGTAGAGGGCATCTTGAATTTGTATCATCTGAATCATTCTGGAGCATAGTTATAGTGTTACACGTTTCAACCCCTTTTCAAGTTTTTCACAATTTTGATATTTTGCTGATTTTCTAATGCTTAAATAAATAAAGGCCTTGTCAACAGACGTGGAAGGGGGAGATTTTATTGGGTCCMGGCCCATGAATCCATCCTCAATACCCAGGATTTCTTAAATGTGGAAAAAAGCATCTTTGACTCGTTTCTTGGGTGAACTCCAAACTCAAACTTCCAGTTTTGTTACATGTCACAATAAAAGACGATATCTATTCCAAGATGTCTTTACAGCCTACTGATAAAATTATACGGACTTGAGTATGTTCTGTTATCATGTAGTTTATGATACATACTCGAGGAGCCGGTTAATCTATGTCATTACTACTGTTTTCCTCCAAGGGAATCCAAGATGCAAGGACGGTTATTATCCTCCTCGCTGTAACGAAACAAATATGGGGACCACTCCTGCAACACCTACACAATCGGCTGCCTCCACAACACAACCTACTCAATTGGGAGCGACAGCTACTTACAAAACMCAGACAGCAAGTGCAATATCTACGCCAAATGATAAAAGTGAGCAGTGTTTGAAATTATTTCAGTGCAATGGTTATTGTTTTTCTGTCTGTTTTTTGCTTGTTTTTTAAAGTATATTTGTGTGTTTTTCTCTTGTTTGTTCTTTTTTATACCTTTTTTTGTTTGCTTCTTTGTTTATTTGTTTGCTTCTTTGT